ATTTATCTGTGGATTTTCAAAGGCTCCAGTGTATTAATTTAATATATATACCTGAATATTAAGATGAAAGCAATTTTCCATTAGCTGCCAGTGGCCTCATTTGTTACACTCAGCCCTAGAGGGCCTCGAACCTCTGACTAGTCTTACACGGTCTGCAACACCAGTTGATATTGTTGTTAAGAGCTGTCGAGTCAATTCTGACTCATAGTGGCCCTCTGCAGGGTTTCTGAGGAGCAGTTGGTGAGTTTGAACTACCAACCTATATAGCTACAAAAAGGGGACTTGTGAAATAAATTATCATGTAAACAACAATGGCCATTATAAAAGAAAGATAGTTCCGACTGAGGCTAGAGAAAATGAAAACAAGTCCAAAAGAGCCAAAATATGACCTTGAACATATCCCTACTGAATTTAGAGATCATCTCAAGAACAGATTTAATGCATTATACACTAACGATCAAAGACCAGGAGACATCAAGAACATCAAACAGGAAGAATGCAAAAAGTCATTAAAAAGACAGGGAAAGAAAGAAAAGACCAAAATGGGATGTCAGGGGAGACTCTAAAATTTACTTTTGTGTGTAGAGAAGCTAAAGTGAGTGGAAGAAATAAAGATTTAAAAGGTCTGATCAGAAAATTTCAAAGGGCAGCTAGAGAAAACAAAGTATTATAATGATAGTATTATAATGAAATGGAGTTAGCATTGCTCAAACTGAAAGAACTGATAAACATTCAAGCCTTGATTTATGATATGAAAGGATTCTATGTGTAGCGCTGCAGAATAATGTGCTGGACCAGAAAGTCAGTATGAATTACAAAGTCAGCAGTTCAAACCCACCAGTTGCTCCTCGGAAACCCTATACAGGGTAACTACGAGTCAGAACCAACTCAATGGCACTTAACAATGACGACGACGACAATGGACAAAATATTGAATGATGCAAAAGGCATAAAAAGATGGAAGGAATTCACAGTCATTGTACCAAAAAGAATGGTTAATGCTCAAACATTTCAAGAGATTAGCAGAAAATAAATTGCAATTTTTTCAACAACTTGATACATCCCTACATGTGCTCACTCATCAATAAATTTCAAAGACGGGGCAAGGCTTGATGGCAGACTATGTAGAAGTGCGGTACAGACTTTCAACAGTAATAACACAGAATACCAGATGAAACAGGTTCAGGGGACAGTCCCAGAATTCTGAAATACACATAAAGGAATACTTAGAAGGATTAAAAACTTATTGCTAGTGGGATTTGTAGAAGTAAGAAAGGTAGCATTTTCTGATCTATGACTGCCAGCAGGTGCCAGAGCAGCCATCTTGGGTGTGACAGAGCAGGAGCAGGATCAGAGGAGTGCTCCCACTGCAGAAGTCTGACCAATCATCAGAGATAAAGGTGTGCACATTTTTTTTCCAGTTATTTGGTCTCTCACTGTGTACCTCCACTCTGATAACTAGAGGGGGTACCTGAGGGAATGGCTGTCCCACCTCACCCCCAGACGGTTCTACTATGCATGTGCACAGATCTACTTAGCGAAGACCACAGCGTGCAGAATCTAAGAAGGGGGAAAAGTAAACAGGAACTGCTTTAAATGGATCGGTCTCCCAGAATGGCTCCAACTGACTAAGTGAGGACATTACAGTCATTCTCATATTTTGCTATTTTTTTTCACAAATATAGACTGTAGTATTCAATCTGGATTGTTTGCTGTTGTTTTGATGTGGGTTTGTTTTTGTTTTTGTTTTTTTTTATTCTTTTGATTTTGGGGGTTCTCCTTTTATCTGGGAGAGAGGGATCTTTCTCTCCCTATGGTACCCAAAAAGAAACAGCAATTGTGGTCATCTAGCCAAGCTAAAATCACATCCAATAAAAACCCCCCATCCAGGCAAGAGCCAATACCAGCTGCTATACACCAGATAGACAGGCAACACCTGCTATGGTTACTCTGAGTTGAGTAATAAGAAAAATGAAAAGGAAAGCCCATCTCCTGATCACCTCTATCTGGAGGCATATCAGAAGGCTTAATAATATACCAACATGCATTCATCTAATTACTGAAAACACATCTAATTATTGAAGATGCCCAAGAGACAGTTGAAGATTTTGGCACATGTCCAGAAACAAGATAGAGTAACTGAAACAAATGAGCTGGAAGTAGACCTAGACTTCCCATTGGAAGGAGGGCAGGCTTTGGAACTGCCTGAGAAGGAATTCAGGAGAGTGATACTGATGCTTCAAATGCATCCAAATGCTCCACAAAAAGGTTGAGAAAATTAAGGCAGAAATCAGGAAAACATTAGAAGAACAAGCAAATTAAGATAGAAATAGGATTGGAAACCATTCAAAACCAGCAAAAAGGGATCCAAATGATTAATAATAAAATATTAGAAATGGACAATACACTGAAAGAGCAAAGGAGTATTATTGAAGAGATGGAAGCCAGAACCAGCAAACTGGAAGACAAATCTCTCAATACTGCTAAGATAGAAAAGTAAGCAAAAAATGATTTTTTAAAAAATCTGAAGAAAGAATTAAGATTCATGTAGTACAACATGGAGAGGAATAATGAGAATTATTGGAATTCTGGAATAGGAATAATCAGAGGAGATAGTTGAAGAGCTGCTTTAAGAAAATTTCCCTAACATCCTGAAAAACAAAAATATAAGCATTCAAGAATCTCACCAAACCCCAGGAAGGATAGACCCCAAAAGAAAATCACCAAGACGTATCATAATCAAGCTCTCCAAAATCTAAGCTAAGGAGAGAATCTGAAAGCAGTTAGGGAAAAGAGAAGTGTTACTTACAATGGCAAGCAAGTAAGATTAAGCTCTGATCTCTTAGCAGAAACCATGGGACAATGGGGAGAATTATAGAAAACCCTGAAACAAAAAAAGCTGCCAACCAAGAATCATCTACCCAGCAAAGCTGTCAATCAAATACCATGGTATAATAAAAACATTCCAAGATAAACAGAAGCTAAGGGACTTTGCCAAAGCCAATCCAGCACTTCAAAACATCCTAAAGGGAGTTATTTTGACTGAGAACTAACAAGAACAGATAACAACCAGAGACTGACATACATGGAAACACCACCTGGAACTCAGTTGATGGATGGAAGAGTCTAGAACAGAATATACCTACAAGAAGGAATTCAGAGGATCTGGGAGGTCAGTCTCTGATCAGATCAATTACAGTGTGAAAGAAGGTAAAAATATGAGAACAGAGATCCAGGTAATGAGGAGGTCAGGTAGATTTCACAGTAAAATAGACTGATTTAAATGGAGGAAAAAGTTAATAGAATGTAGGTTAACCTCAAAGAAAATTAATATTTAACAATATACCAAGAAAATGAAAATCCAAGAAGAACATAGAAACATTCAAAATATGAAGCTTAAGAAAAGATACCCATACTAAAAGAATGGAAAAAAAATTCTTTGTTGGCTATCAGGGGTGGGAGGGAGAAGATGGTAGAGCACAGGTTAGGGGATAGATAGATAGGGTCAGGTGTTGAGGAGGGCAATACACAAGAAGGGAGAGAGGGATGGAAGAGCAAGGTAAATAGGGGAACACTTAGGTTTGCATGGGCTAAGTGGGACAGAGGTAAATAGTGATGTATGCTAAACATTGGAACAACAGAACTCTGTGATACAGGTTTCAAGGCATAATCTGAATGGATAAAAGAGGAGAAATAATGTTAAGTTGTTTAATTGTCTTTTGAATGTTGGTTTTCCTTGTCTAGTATTCTAAAATAGACACATGAGTGGGATAGAAAGGAATATTGGGAAACATTATTACAGAAAACTTACAAGCCCGTCTTCATCCTGTAACTCACTGGAATACCTAAAAGGGATTCTAGAACTGCCCCAGTGAAATATCTTTCTTGCGGAGCCTTTGTAGTGTATAGGACCTTAGGTGGAATCCTGAGGCCCATCCAGAACCTTCTGAGGTGGGACATTACCACTTGAAAGGACATGCAGATCAGCCTGAAATGGCTAGAGGAACAGAAGATACTTCTTGAAAGAAAGACCAACAGGGAAAAATAACCAAAAACTGTAGCCACATTGGCTACTACAAGAACAAACAAGTTGTTCATCAGGGAGTCATCAAGGCAAGGAATCAAGTCCCTTCAGGACAAACCCCCTCTTCAAGACTGAAACTCAAAGGGAACACACATGCAGACATGTAAGCTTGCTGGCGACCACGTTGATTTGATGGTGATTGGAAGTGGGAGAAAGGCAGCAATGAAGATAAGGGCTTAATTCAATCATGTTCCATAGACTTTCATTGACCTGGAGATGAGATAGAGAAGAGGAAGAGCTGGTTGGTCCGAAGTGTAGTCACAGAGGGCTAGAGCTGAAAGTGAAGCATCCAGCTGATATGAAGTGAGGGTAGATCACAAGAACTCCCAAACTTGCAGATAGTACCCATTTAACCTAGCTTCAATGGCTTGATGATCAGAACTACACTAGAGGAAGGTAAAGAAATTTGATAAAGGAAGCAAGTGTAAATTGCTACAATTTGGTGAACTTGACCTATATTTATAGATGTAGTAGCTCAAAATAACAACTGAGAGGAAAGGAGTCTTCACATCAAGGTTCAAACATATTGCCTCTGTGCACAGGGTTGATAGGGATGGACAAATTAGACATTGGGCTAAAGTGGGGGGGCTATAAAGGAGTGGTTGGCTTACAAGTTTTCAAGAAGGAGTTTAGTTTCAGAGTGCGGGGGAAGGTAGAATCCTCACTGAATAGTTTTCATCTTGTCTAGATGGGTCTGGTGAAAAGAGATGGGGATAA